TAACACCAGCACTCTTGAGCTGTAGCTTCATGGCTTTTGGCCACTGAGAGACAATTGGCCCAGGAAAAGCCACTCAACTGACTCTGCAATGCACCTGCTTAGAAATGGTAGCTTTTTTTTTTTGAGACGGAGTCTTGCTCTGTCACCCAGGCTGGAGTGCAGTGGCCGGATCTCAGATCACCGCAAGCTCTGCCTCCCGGGTTTACGCCATTCTCCTGCCTCAGCCTCCCGAGTAGCTGAGACTATAGGCGCCCGCCACCTCGCCCGGCTAGTTTTTTTTTGTTTTTTTGTTTTTGTATTTTTTAGTAGAGACGGGGTTTTACCGTGTTAGCCAGGATGGTCTCGATCTCCTGACCTCATGATCTGCCCGTCTTTTCCTCCCAAAGTGCTGGGATTACAGGCTTGAGCCACCGCGCCTGGCCCCAGAAATGGTAGTCTTGCTAATGGAACGTAATTCCGGCTGAAGTTGATGAGAAATGATGAGGATTGTGCTATGGAATGAACTACTTTCCCAAAATTCATATGTTAAAACCCTAACCTGCAATGTAGTTGTATTTCGAGATAGGGTCTTTAGAAGGTAATTAAATGAGGTTGTAAGGGCAGTGCCCTAATCCAGTATGACTGATGGCCTTATAAAAGGAAAGAAGAGATCTCGCTCTCTAAATGCACTCACCAAGGAGAGACCATGTGAGCACATAGCAAGAAGGCAGCTGCAAACCAGGAAGGCCCTCACCAACCCCACCATGCTGGTTCCCTGATCTCAGACTTGCAGCCTCCAGAACTGTGGAAAATAAGTTTCTGTTGTTTAAGTGGCCCAGTCTGTGGTATATTGTTATGGCAGTCCAAGCCAACTAAGATAGTTTTGTGTTGAATCTATGAGCTTCTTCCCTCCACCGAAAATTCACCTACGATTTCCAGGTGCCCACTAGCCCCTGCTTTGAAGACCGAAAGAGGAGCTGTGCACCCACTGTCTTCTCTCCAGAGAACGATCAGGAATAGCTCCAAGGAAGCCTTGAAGTACTCTCTCATGTTTTCTGTTTAGTCAAAGAGTTGCCATATGATTTCTCCCAAATTCAAAATGTAGGAATATAATTTTCAGTGAGAAAGATTATATTTATTTACTGATTTATTTTTATATGTCTCCCATGTGTTTTTAAAATAGGGGGTACAAGTGTACTGTTACACAGACATATTGCATAGTGATGAAGTCTGGGCTTTCAGTGTAACAGTCACCTGAATAGTATATATTGTACCCATCAGGTAATTTCTCATTCCTCACTCCCCTGCCACTTTCCCACCTTTCCCTCCCATTTCTGTTCTTTCACTCTATATGTTCACGTGTACACAGTATTTAGCTCCCACTTACAGGCAAAAACGTGGTATTTGACTTTCTGAGTATTTCGCTTAAGATAATGGCCTCCAGATCCATCCATGTTGCTGCAAAAGACATGATTTCTTTTTTGTTGTTGTTGTTTTATGGCTGAGTAGTATTTTATGGTGTATTTATATATGCACATACATACCTCACTTTCTTTACCCAGTCATCTGTTGATGGACATTTAGGTTGGTCCATCACTTTGCTATTGTGAATAGTGCTGTCATAAACATACAAGTGTTTGAGTGTCTTTTCTATATGATGATTTATTTTCCTTTGGGTAGATATCCAGGTGGTAGTTCTATTTTCGGTTGAGAAACCTCCTGCTGTTTTCCATAGAAGTTGTACTAACTTACATTCCCACCAACAGCATACAAGCATTCTCTTTTCTCTGTATCCCCACCAACATCTGTTATTCTTTGACTTTTTAATAATAGCCATTGTGATTGGTGTAAGATGGTATCTCATTGTGGTTTTATTTTGCATTCATCTGATGATTAGTGATGTTAAGCATTTTTTCATATGCTTGTTGGCCATTTGTATGTCAGAAATAATATATTTAAAGATCCAACATTCTGGGTCATATTCTCATTCTTAATTGGGTACTTGGTGACACCAGTGTATACACTTTGTGAAAACTGAGCTATTCACCTAAGCGAGGTAGGTGAGTGGCCATAGGGGGGGGTGTGTGTGTGTGTGTGTGTCATCAATAAAAAGGTTACTTCTTTTTAAATTCACCACCTTAAAATCCAGAGCAATGGAGCAATTTGCCCAGGGTCACAAAACCAGTTGGTAAATAAATACAAGAACCCAGATCTCCTAGCTCTTTAGTTAGCACCTGTTTAAGAATCACATCCAAGAACAAGGTTCAATTTCAATGTCTTTTTATCTGAATATTGTTGGAAATTCCGTTGATTTCCTCAGAGCCCTACTCTGCATCTGAAGGTGGACATCATATTTGAAAGACTGCTTCTCATTATTATTGAAGCCATGCATGCTCCTTACTTGCTCTCTCTAGCTGATGGGTGTGGCCATCAAAGAAATCTACAGGTAGTCCATTCTCTGCCGTTGGTGCAGTGCTCTGGAAAGAGTCTCTGTAGAAAGCCCCTTTATGTTTGTGTTGGCCTTGTGTACTCTGAAAGGTGAGGTAGGTGGCTGGTCAGGCTCATGGTGGTGCCTGCCTTAGGACTTATGGGCAGCCCTTTGTCTGGACAAAGGTGACAAACCGACAATTATTGACTTAGTAACAGCTCCATCAGTAAGGCAAATGAAGAGAACACCATAGTGTAAATCTGAGATGTCTCTTAATTATGCATATTTTGTTCATTGAGCAAGACTCTCATATCCCATGATGATTCTACTGACTTTGGAAAGCTCAAGCAGTCCAAGTGACATTTTAACCACCTAAGGCCTAAGAGTGAATGGTGGAATGAAATAAAACTGAGCCCTGCCCTCATTTCCCCATCTATCAAAAAGCCCCTCAGACAACCCTCTCAAGACAACCCTACTCAAAACCCTGATCATCAAGGTCAGGCTGTTTGCATTCCCAGCCCTGCCCCTGCCGCAAAGGGTAGTGCTTAGTCCAGTTCAGCTGACAGTTCATCTGTGCTCATGACATCAGACTGCCACCCTCTGTGCCACAAGCTCACCTGAATTAGCCCACTGAGTGTTAGTGCTGAGGGCTGGCCCCTTCCCGAACCTCCTGATCCTGTCTCCACAATGTCTAAAATGTGGTTGGAAAAACAGCATAGACTAGATGTCCCATTCTGGCTCATAACCAAGCCATGGGATGGTAGGGTTGGGTAAAATTCCTTAGAACTCCAAGGTAACCAAACTGCCTACATCCATTTGCATCTTCTGCAGTCCAGGGATTTAAAAGTAATGGCTTCTGGCAAGTCATCTCACTGCACTGCTGGTCATCTCTGTAAACAGCAGCTGATAACTAGCTCTGTTCCTTGAGGGAACCAACAGGTCCCTAAGGGGCTCTGCCTCACCCCAGTGAGGTTCAGGAGCCCAAATGGAGTAAGTTCCATTTAAGCTCTTCATGTTCTGTGCTGATATGCCAGGAACCAGGAGTTGTCTTTAACATTGTGCCTGTGCCAGCCAGACTGGCTAGTATAATATCTTTTCAATTAGCAAATCTTCCAATAATAGCGTTTTAACAATGAAGTTGTAAAGAAAAAACTTGTTCTTAATTTTTGTCCAAGGAGGGGAAAAAAAGAAGACTTCTAATAATCATATCATCATAAATTCTAATGTGACCATTTGGCTGTGTTACAAAATTTGTAGCTAATAGTTAAAATAAAGATTTAAGTAAATGCTTTTATCAATAAAGTAAATGACAGGGCATATTCTTCTCAGCCAGAGTCAGAAATGGCAGCACATAGCCATGTGCTGAATTGTCACACAGTGCAAGTCTTTAAAATTCCTTCTGGATTTGGAGGTATTAACAAGTCCCTATCAACAGTCTCTAAAGGCTTTTGATGTCATTTTAGCTATTGAACGAAAATATGTGAACTATTACTTTGTTGATTTTGTTCTTAAACTAAACTGCATTATCATCTGAGAGTGTGTTCTTAAAGTATTGTTAAAAGTACTTTGAAAACTTGTAAATCCCTGTAATTTATGTTTCTCCTGCCTCTGCTGTTTCATTCTGTCCTTCTGGTTTTAATTTGAATGTAGCCCTGTCTGGGTGTGTACCTGTAAAATTGTTTTTCCAAGTACAATTTACAGTTCTGACCTTAGGTTTACAGTGTTCCTAATCTTCTAGGAGCTTCCTCCTATACCACGAAGTGGGCTTTGGGTCACCCAGCTCTTTCATATTAGAACTCTGTAATCAAGGTTACTTGAAACAGAGCTAATTTTGACCTTTCTTAGTTTATCATGGAGGCCTAGGGAGTAAACTAAGAGGGCTTCCCTGCAAGCCCATTCGTTGCATTGCCCTATTTCTATAAATGTACACAGTTGTAAACTTAGACTGCTTCAAGACAACAGTCTCATTTATCTAAACAGTTCTCCTTTTAGACTCAGTGGCACTGATGGAAACAAAGATAAGAAGTATAGATTGGACAAAGGGTCTTTTGGAGCCTGTAACTTTTTCTGAAACTGTTCCCATTTTCCTTAGAATTAGCTTTTCTTTCTTGGACCTACCTGCATACAGAATAGATCTATCTGCATTGAGTGTATTCAGTGAGCTAAGTTAAGGGAAGACTGCAGTGGGCAGGGCCTTACTTTCTTGTGAGTGAGCTCTTTGCAGGTTTTAAGGAATATGACTACTCTGCTTTAAGGGGGCATGGGGAGCACTTTGTTAAAGCTGTGTGCATTCTGAATCCATTTCATAGGCCTCCTTAACTCCGTGGCAACTATACCTTTCATCATGGATTATAGTAACTTTTAAATGAGTGCAAAACTTTCAGGATCTTTTCCTTAAGTTGGGAAATGAGATTTTTTTTTTTTTCTGCTGTTTTCAAGTATCACTTAAATTAAGCTCTGGTATGGAGTTAGGAGTCTTTTTCTTTACACTCCTTCAGCATGTTTTCCGTGGTTCTAGTCGACACTGTTGCAGGCGGGTGACGGACAGACCGGGGCGTTTTGGCAGCTGACCTGGGCTGCTCCTCCATTTCAGGTGATAGTGCAGTCCGGCCGCCACCCCACAGTGCTGCAGAAGCTCTGCCAATTGCCCTTCCAGTATTTCAGTGACCCACGGCTGATCAAAATACTGTTCCCTTCACTTATCGCTGCTTGTTACAACAATCATCAGAACAAGATCATTCTGGAGCAAGAGATGAGCTGTGTTTTACTGGCCACTTTCATTCAGGTACCTTCTACGTTATACCTAATTGTCTAGCTTTATGTGTAAACTAATGCAACGGAAACATAAAAGTAAGCCAGCTGTTTATTTTTGCTTTCCATACTACCTTTTAAAATCTTTACATATTTATGTGCTCTAAAATTAATTTTTAAAATATCAGCATAGTTTCTGAAATATTAGTGGAACCGCAATTGGGTGTTATATAATTTCTACTTGGAGGAATTCAAGGAAAGGATATTTTTCCAGTTAATGAACTGGTAACCCGTACTCAGGAAATGTTTGTAAAAGACTGCCAGATTTCTTTAAGGCTTTAACTATTGTATTTATCTTGCTTTTATTCTAACTATAGGAAATAGATAATAATTGCTGAAGAAAGATGAATTAAAACTAGTCATACATTTTTAAATAAATATGATTTTCATATATACATAATGTGTAAAATAAAAACCTGTTATATTGATTTTTTTTTATGTAAAACAACTTTCAAGTACAGCCTTATATTTTTCTGATCCAGTTAAATCCTGTAGGGCTAGAATCAGAATTAGTGCCATAGCAAAGTACTATTTCCACATCTAAATTAACTCAGTCAACTGAAAAACCAAGTTGACTATGCTTTAACATTTGCTACTAACTCATCCTGTGAAATTTTTTGTCATTGTAGAGCATTATGTACTGAAAATCTCCCATTTCTTTCAAATGTTCCACCATAAGATGTGTTTTTGCTCCATGACACACATGTGATGAGTAGATAGTACTTTCTGGTCTTCAGAATAATGAAACAGAAAGCAGAGTTCTGTATTAGTATTCTTCCATATTCTGGTGAATATACATCTATCACTGTCAGAAGGATATGATAGTGCCCAGCTGGCTGCGAACTCGAGGATAGCCAAGGAGTTCCCAGAGCCCTCATCTTAGACAGCATTTTGAAGTTTACATTTTCCAAACTATCCTGTATTAGATAATTAATAAACACAACTAGATCAATTACGTTAGAAAAGTTTTGTTTTCAGCTTAATTGTTCTGTTTGAATCTACATTTTATTTTCTGGAAAAAAGTTAAATTAGATATTCAGATCTACAAATATGGATTTCAAAAACTGTCTTATAGTTAATATCTTAAGAAATTTTATAGTATATAACATCATATCGACACTTAGGATTCTTCATATATTTTTAGAGCCTTAGGAGTAAATTAAATAGAAAATACATTATGGGCCGGGTGTGGTGGTTCACATCTGTAATCCCAGCACTTTGGGAGGCCGGGATGGGCAGATCACTTGAGGTCAGAAGTTTGAGACAAGCCTGACCAATATAGTAAAACCCATCTCTACTAAAAATACAAAAACTAACTGACCGTGGTGGCAGGCACCTGTAATCCCAGCTACTCGGGAGGCTGAGGCAGGAGAGTTGCTTGAACCTGGGAGGTAGAGGTTGCAGTGAGCCAGTATCGCGCCACTGAACTTCAACCTGGGTGACAGAGCGAGACTCCATCAAAAAAGAAAAGAAAAGAAAAGAAAATACAAATACATTATGGATAATTTTAAGAATGTACTCTTTCTAAATTCAGATTATTCATTCTTTTATTCAACAGGTAATGTTTGAGTATGTAAAGTGTGCTGGGCACTGACTGCTCTAGGCACTGCAAAATACAGCAACAAATAAAACAGATAAAAATTCCTGCCTCCACAGATCTTTGATTAAAGTGGGGGACAGTCAAGCAAAAGACAAAAAAAATTAGTAAAACAAATAGTATGTCAGATGCTATGCTAAGTGCTGTGGCAATAAGTGCTGTGGAGAAAAGTAAGGCCGGAAAAGGAGCTAGGGACTTCGGGGAGATGATGTGCAGCTTTTTATGGTGTGGGCAGAGAGCCCTCAACAAAGACAGTGATGTTTGAGCGAAACCAGTTTCCTCTGTATCAGCTTAGTTCCTTATGTTTTCAGCTGCATAGACAATGACTTATAATGATACAAATGATATCAGGATCTAAAGAGTATATATATATTTCTTGTGTTGATCTGATATTGATCAAAGTACTAAGTCTACCTTTATTACAAAAAAAAACTATGTATTTAACACACAAATTTTGTAAATGCTAAAAAAATTTCTTATATAGTTTATTTCAGATAGCATATTAGACTTGTGGAGTTAAATCAAGTTTCTTTCTATAAATAATTGTGCTAAAGAGAATGGATATAGATAGGATTTTTGTTTATAAAGTGGTTCCTCAAGGCCTCTATGTGTTACATTATAACTAAGTTACTAGAAAATGATATTAAAATGGGAGCGGATTGTCTTAGGTTTCTGAAGATTTACACATTATATTTACATTTCTCATTTTCCATCTACATGCAAAATTACCAGACTTTAAGATTTAGCTGCAGAATACATAGGGCTCTTATATTTGTACTTTTTAAAAAATGATCAAAATCTGTCGATATTTTAAGATAGCAAATTTGGCTTAAATTCTAGTTTATTAGATAAAAAGTTATAATTTCCAAAGTAGGCAGCAAGCTGTCTCCTGGTGATAATTTAGCAAGATGTAAGTCATTACTGTTTGGTTTAAATTTATGAGAACTTGGACTACATAACATCAGTTTCTTCAGCATTTATATTTGGGCCCCAAAATATTCATACAAAAGTGGTTGCATGAATCAGAAGTATATTTAAAACCACCCTCAGTGAAATTCTCTGTTCATAGCATTGATAGAAAAACACTTTTCTCTCCTCATACAGGATTTGGCACAGACTCCAGGTCAAGCAGAAAACCAGCCTTACCAACCCAAAGGTATGTCTCTATTGAAATCAAATTTCATGTGTGTGTTAGTCAAATGGACATCTTTCTTATCCTTTCCTCTGGAACTTTTACATTGTATGTACAATTTTATACATAACCTAACATTTGAGATTCAGATACCAAGTATATTTCAGTAAGTAAAAAAATCAATTTTGTCATGAAGCATGAATGCATCCAAATATGTATAGAAATCTATGGGAGTAAAAGAAAAGCACAAATATCTTTGTATAATAATCATCTCATGCAAGATATATTAAATGGTGAATAATCACTAAAGAGCTGCTTTGTAATACAGGAGCCAGATCATTAATATTGGCCCACATTACTTGCATAAATGCTGAAATCACATAGGTCTGGTTCCTTATCCATGTTCAGAATAAAGTTATCAGTAATAGTAGCCCACAATTTCCCCCTAAGTTCGAGTACTTGAACTTTTGTTTTGAAAATAATTGTTTTACATGGAGAAAAAGTCATCAAATTGGCAAAGTCCAGGGCAAAAGATTTACAAGTTTTTTTTTTTTTTTCCTATAGCATTCCTGCTGGGGTGTTTGCTGTGATCAGAGTCAGAGATTTAGAATTGTTACCGCATTTTTACTTTTTTAAATATTCTGCTACCCAGACTGTAATTGAGAAGTACAAGTTGCTCTTTGGCGGTTATGACAGCATCTCTGATGAATGAGACCCTAATCCAGATCTTCTTCAATTCTTCCATTAATTTGATAGTCTTTAAAGTGGCCATTTAGAGGTACACTCCCAGCAGGACCCTTTAGGGTACCCACCAAGAAACCCTTACTTGGTGGGGGTTGGGGGTGTTACCTTGGACTCTTTCACACACACAAAAAAAGTCCTGTACAGTGGACAGGTGTTGAAAAGTGCAAAGAAAATATAACTAAAGCTGTTACAATATCATGAAGAAAAAAAAAAAGACATTTTATTGACTCAGGCACCCAGAAAAGTTAAACAGAAGGCTATGCGACTTTTCAGAAATTCAAGTCAGCATCCTTGTCGGTACCATTTGTCTGAGCAAGAATTAGTCTGCAAGTTCAGTTCTGCCCTGACCCAGTCACAGCCCTTTTTGTTTTGTTTTGTTCTGTTTGGTTTAACTACTGGCGGATACTTGGGAGAAATCAGCAAAATGTGTTACTATTCTTACAATTTTATTTTGAATAAATTAAAATGCTTGGAAAAATCTATTTATTTTCAGTTGTACAGCAGTTTTGTTTTGTTTTGTTTGCCACTAAGAAGTATAAGCATTTTTTTCTTACTCTTTCTCCTGATCATAAAGATGAGTCACAATTTGTTACATGGTCTGGAAGACACAGTCCCAGAAGCTGCCTCTGTCTGCTCGGTGGACGGAGGCCTGTGGAAGTGAACCTTCTTTCTTTTCCAACGGACCATCTTCCCTGCTATTCATGCTTTCCCCAGTTACAGTAGGCTCAACTCACAGAACAGCAAATAGGGAATTGGTCTCTCCTTTGCTCAGAGAGGGTCATCACTATGTTAATGACAACTCATAATATGTTGCTTTTTTTTTTTAAATGATGATGCCTCACTAAGTTGCCAGTTTGCAACTTGGATTATTTGTTCCCCTTTTACCTAGATTAAGTCCCCATAAAATGTCTCAAGATATTTTGAGTTCATTGTCCAGGTAAACCTTTAAGTATAAAAGCAGCTCTTGGTAACACCACATTCTTATTGCCCAGGAAGAATTTTGGTTTTCAAATACCCACTGCCTGTCTAGCTGCAATTGTTTACTTTACCTATGCCACTGGCCAGTAAAGCTCCTGTCATTCATTCCTACTGCTTTGTTAGATAGGCAGTGCCAGATTTGAATAATTTTAAAGATATACTTAAACTACATTCATGTTTTGAATTAAATAGACTTTCAGAAAACGTCATCATTTACATAAAGTTTTCCCCTTTCATGGCTAACTTAAGGATAGAATATAGGACTGTCATTTTAGTTTGTTCACCTTTTTCTTTTTTTTTTTTTTGAGACAGGGTCTATGTTGCCTATCCTGGAGTACAGTCACTACTCACAGGTGCGATCATAGCAAACTATAGCCTCTAACTCCTGGGCTTAAGCAGTCCCCCTACTGCAGCCTTCCAAATAGCTGGAACTACAGCCATGCACCACTGTGCTTGCCTGGTTGCTAATTTTTTTCTCATTGTGGAGTCCAAAAACATCTTTTTTTGTAATTTATGTAAGAGTTAATGTCTGAATATGTTAAAGCACAAACTGGATTGTGGTTAAAATATGTCATATATTTTATACTACAGATAGATTGATACACATAGATCAATCACCTTATTTACCTAAAATGTGTCATGGTTTATTTGAAGTGGATATCTCCATTTTATACTCAGATATCAAAATAAGTTTAATTTATGAATCTTCAAAGAATTTAACCCTCTTTTATTTCACTTTTTTCTCTTTTTTTCCCCCTCAGGGAAATGCCTTGGTTCCCAAGACTATCTTGAGCTGGCTAACAGATTTCCTCAGCAGGCCTGGGAAGAAGCTCGACAGTTTTTCTTGAAAAAAGAGAAAAAATAAATGTTTTGGTTGATTCTGTATTTGAGTACCCTTGTTAATATTTTAAATTGTTCAAACATTCTAATTGTTCCTTAAGAACTCATTTTCACATGTTTATACTCTCACCACACTGTAGATATGGCATGTACTTTACACTATTTATAATGACTGTAGATACTTGAATGTTCTACTTGCTAATTTTGCAAGTTGAGTGTATTTCATTTATGCAAAATATCTTGGAGTTTGATAACTTTCATCTTATGATAATATATACTTTGCATTTGTAATATTGGTGAAAGTAGACATAAAATTAGCAAGTCTGTTGTGTTCTTGTAATAAAATAACTTATTCTGTTTTCATTGTTGACTTTTCATGTTAAGGAAATATGAATCTGAAAGAAAAATGTTAACTCCACCCCTTGAAGTATCTTAAATAAAGACTTAATTAAAGTTTACCTGCTCTAAATTTAACTTTTAAAGGTCTACGGTAAAGATATTTGCAACACTTTTACATTCTGACTACATAATATGTTTGGGGACTATTTGAAATCAACTTAGGGCATTGTATTCATTGGTCTGCCTGAGAACCTCTCTCCTAGCAGATAATTCTGAGAACCTCTCTTGGCATTGCCAAGCTGAAATTATTCTCCTAAGTAAAAATTAGTGATAAAAAAGATGTGTCCTAGTGAATCACCCTAGAGTATTTTCTCTCATGGTTGTGAAATGAAGCAACGCTGAAGTAAAAGTCACACAAAAGGTCGAAATGGTTCTGAATGAGTTTCACACAACTCCTGTTCACTTCTCAGTGTCTGCCTGGAGATGTTGACCTTTTCATGTCTTGTTCTCATCGTTTCTCCACCTTAAGCTCACGGTCAGTGCTAAGCCGTTCACTGAGTGACATCAGTAGTAATTTCTGTCAGATAATGATCAAACATTACCAAGAAAAAAGATCCGGTTGGGAAAAAAAGATGTGAAAATGTATTCGACTCGGAGACTACGGAGCGGGGAGGGACTGGAAAATACAGAAGTTTTATGTTTTTCAAAATCAAACTTACCCACCTAGTGTTCTGGACCCTTCTTATTTGAAGCCTCACAGAGCTGCCGGGTTACATATTTGCTATATTTTACTTCTTTGAAAACAGAAAATTAAAAGGTCTGGTTTAAAAAAAACAGAAAAAAAAGCGAGCTCCTCCGTATGCGATCGGCGCCCCAGCCGCCGCGGGACCCTGGCGTCTCCGGGGTTCAGCCCAGCCAATACCCCACCCTGCGGGTCTCCAGCGCCGCGCTCCGGCTCGAGGGCGGGGACCGGCAGCTCCAAGCCAGAGGGACGGGCTCTAGGGCCACCCCTCCCGCCTCGCGTGGCGACTCCGCCGCCGGGCACCGGGGAGCGGGACCCAGGACTCCAGCCGCCGGCTGCGGGTGCTCAGCAACTCCCGGAGCCGCAGGGCCGGGCTGAGCTCCGCGCCTGCGAGGCCGAGGGGTGGCCCCTGGCGCCCCCAATGCTCCTCCCGGGCGGGGGCTGCCGCGGGCCCAGTGAGCGACCCCGGGGAAGGAGGCAGGTGTCGGCCGCAGGCTCCTTCCACACCTGGAACAGGAGTTCCCAAAGCTCGCTGGCCCCGCGCTCTCGAGGCGTGGACGCAGCATCCTTGCAGCTGAAAAGAATCATCAAGTATTTATAAGATTTCCTGCAAGACGCTTCACAATAGAATATACTTATCTGGTCGGAAATTTGCCAGAAGCCATAAATAATTGAGACAGCTGTGACTAACCTCCCAGAAAGCATACCAGAATTCGCAATTAAACATTTAATTGAACGGTCTCATTGCCCCCTCGTCCCGGAGAGGAGGAGGAGTGAGAAGCAAACCCAGGCCCCACCCAGCCGGGAGCCTGCGCGGCTCCAGCCCGGGAGCGCCCCGGTGCCTCCCGGCGCACGCGGTTCCTGGGAGTCTCGAGTTCGCTGCTTTCGGGCGCCCTGGCCCGGCCCGGACAATTTAAGCTCCAGCTCCCTGGGCTTTTCCGGCTTCTAAACTCTCCGGGGCTCGAAGGAGCGCAACGCCCAGGTGAGCGCAGCCGCGTCTCGTTGCAGCTTGCGAGGACGCAGTGCCGCCACAGGTTGCTTTCTCCCGGGGCGAGGGCCGCCCCCCGGTTCTTCCGAGGCTGAGGGGCCGCAGCGGAGACCGCTGGGCGGAGGCGAATGGCCTCTGCTGGGCCCAGACTGTGAAGTTGACGGTGCGACTGGGCGTGTTCGGCGTGAAAGCGACAACTTCGCCCCGGCTTTACAGCCCAGAATTTGAGTCAGGTAGGAGAGGCTGCCGAGGCCCGGGGGCAGCGACGTTCGAACGCTCAGCGGCGTTGCCCAAGCCAATTCCCCGCAGCGGCAGCGGCAGCGGCAGCGGCTCCCTTCCCCCGGAGCTCTGCGGAACACGCAGCCCCAGACGCGCAACTGGACGTCAGAGCCTCAGCTTTGGGCCCGGCCACTCTCCCGCCCTCCAGACTCCAGCAGTCGCGCGGCTGGCACCTCGAACCCTGAACCTGGCCCCGGGAAGCCTCGGTCCAACCGCGGCCTTCCTGGGTTATTTCTTCCAGGGCTCTTTGCCACGCTCTGGGAAGTCTTGAGTCTCGATAATCTGGGAAGAAATTACTCCTCACAATCCCCTATTCTTCCACTTCCTCGTCCCTGCTCCCTACCCCCACGCCCGAACCCGGGGGTCTCCAGTTGGCTACTCTCAAACCACGCCTTAAACACGCTCTTTCCCAACGGGGAACCGGCCTTCCTGAGCTCCTGCCGGCCCCGGGCTCACGCCTTGTCCCACTGCCCCGCTGGCTCTGACCTTCTGGACCAGGAGGCACCGAGGCAGATGACTGGATTCACCTCGCACTCCCGCCTCTCTGGCAGGATTGTTGCTGGGGCCCCGAATGTGCTTTATACATTAAGCCGCTCCCCACCCAACTCCACATCTGGATCCCAAAGGAGTATTTCCTGGTTGTGCCCTTGCTCTCATGACTACTCTCAACCTAGCTCTATTCATCTGCATCTTTCATGCACAGTCTCCATCAACAAGGTGCCAGTCTGTACTTGGCCACTCAATCCTCATAACTGCACTGAATCCCAGTATTTTCAAGAAAGTTTACTTTTACATCCATCAGACCCCGATTTAAAAGCCTCTAATCTTTCCCGCATCAGCTTAATAAACTCTGAATTTCCTGCTTTTATCACCACTCCACTGGGAGCTTCTCTGCAGATACTCATCCATTGTTTCTCTCTCTAGCATGCTGCTATTTGGCTAATTCTCTTGCTCTCTCTGGTGAACACCCATGAGAAAGCACAGTTAACTAAATGTGTGGCCATCTATGTCCTCCCCTAGGCAGAAGAGGTAGAACCTCAAATTTTCTAGAGAACGATCTTAGACAATATCCATTTAAATGCTGTATTTGCAGCTGACAAAATTGAGCTTTGTTATTCCACATTCAAAACATAAAGCCTGATTTCTGTTCCACAATCCATTAAATATTAAAGTTTGTTGGGAATACTGCCACAGGGACTGAATTTCCCAGAATTATGCAGTCTTTCAATATGTATTAAATTTTGTGTAAAAACTTACAGCCATAAACTTTCCATGTCTGGGAATCCCTTTCCTGCCTCAATTGCATAGAGCTATCCAAATTAATAGTTAAGTCTTCTGAGAAAATCATATTCTAAAGTGAATCTAGCTAAATAACTCCCACTTTCCACCTATGGCCTCTTTTATTGAATTGAGTTTTTACTACACAACTGGGTATCTCATGTTAAAAGTTCAGTAAGCATAAAATACAACACTTGTAATTGTTACAGGTAATTTAATTTACGGGGAAATCCCTACTGTATTACAGAAGATGTTTAAAGATGACCTGGAAACCAGTAAAACTGATATTTATTAACGTAACTAACCAGGCGTAGATGTGACACCTCACTAGGGACCATTGTAATAAGGCTTCAGAGTTGAACCCTTTCCCTGGAAACCCAGAGAGAAAACGATGCACCCCTTTAGGTGGGTAGCAACTATGGGAGAGAAAAGCTTGTAATGTTTTATACAGTGATACAGAGAGATGCAGGAATCTTAACACACAATAACCACTTTTATCTAAGTAACTTCCCAGTATTCAAAAAAGACACAATCATATAAATATCAAAAAGAGAAATTCGATTTTTGATTCATGGATGATGAGGAAAGAGATAACTAATGTTAGACGGTTCCATTCATAGCGTTAAAACACTGCAATCTATCAAAAGCAAAAATTCAGAGCTAACCATTAATGAAATTCTTTATTCAATAACCTGTTATTTCCTTTTTAATAAAAAATAAGAAAACCCAAATATTCTGGATAAATCAGAAGTTTTTGAAAGTGAGATTTAGTGGAAGTTTTAGCCCCCTGTCTAATGGCCAGCCAGAAGGTAAAAGAAATCTGTATTTGTTTGGGAAGGAATGGTCTAAGTTAAAGGAAGGAAGCCTCAAAGAACCCAGACCTGATTATTAAAGCCATTTCTGGGCACTTGAGAGGTAAAGCTGGTCCTCATTAACTCTGCGTATCTCTTGCCTTATCTCTAAGTTTGCAGCACCATTTCCTATATCCCAAAGAAGGGGAATGTCCCCTTTAATATTTGTGCTAGCGTCACCTTGACATTCAGGAAGTAAAATATAAATGCAGCTCCATTTTCCCACCTCCTCCCATTTTCTTTCAGTAATTGCCAGCAAGCCTTCTATCATCTGGAAGTGGGGTGGTGGGAGTGTGAAGGAATTCTGCCAAAAGCGCTGCTGAAAAACCCACAGTGGCCTCTGGCCATCCAAGTAGCCACGGTTAACAGAAGGCACCTACTTCTCTAAAGACTACCTGGCCCCCCAGACACGTTTTCCTTGCCAGCCTCTACCTAACCTAAAATGGCAACCATCCCCTACCCAGTGAGGGCGTTGCCCACTTTAAAAACAACCTTGGACAAAGGATACGCTTGTGGGTCCCTTAACTCGGGGACCAGGAAACGGCAACTCAACGCCAGAGGTTCTTACAACAGCGGTGAAGGCTGGTCTTGGAAAAGAACTGTCCCAGGCTGCCAAAGGGTTAAATATCTGTGAAGAGTAAAACCTGAGCCTCCATGAGTTTTTTTTTTTTTTTCTTCTTCTTCTTTCTTTCTTTTTGGGTTTTTTGCTTTTGTGTGTGCGCGCTTGCCCGGGGGCCTACTGGAGATTCAGTATCTCTCGGTTATTTCCTGCGATCACTAAAGCCGGTTTTCAAGAAAACAAGTAGCAGGGGTTTGAAATGTCACACCAAGTGACCTGGGCACGGCATATCCAGGGGCCATTCCCAGCCCCCCTCCCACCCGGGCCACCCCAGACCCCCTCCACTTCGGTCTGGAAAGAAAATAAACCAAGGACACGCCAGACTGGTTCTGGGTGGACTTATTTTCCCGGCAGCCGCCCTCCTAGCGGGGGCTCGTTGCGGCCCCTCGGTGTATCGCTTGCAGGTGATGCCAAACGCAGATAAGCAGCCGCCGCCCGGCCCCGCCTCTGTCTAGACTGGGGAATTAATAAATGCCGCGGATTGATCACGTCGCGCATCCACTCCGGGAACAGCGCGCAGCAAGGCCCGTCACTGCCGCCCGGTCTGGCCGAGGTCGGCCTTGCTGCTGGGCCGCAGGGCCAGAGGCAGCGCGCGGGGCTTCGAGCCTCACCCAGAGCCGCGGACCGCCAGGGAAGGAAGCGCCGGGAGGGCCGGCAGCGCCGAACGAGAGTGGGGCTAGGAGCTCGGCAGGCGCCATGCCAAGGCCGGTTCCAGGAGCGGGGCACGCCCTTGCCGGCATGACCCTAGGCCGGAGCCCGGCGCTCAGCTGCCACGAGCGCTGCAGGTTTCCCGCCTAAATGAGTCCCGCCTCCTGCCCGCGGGCCTCCGCCGCCAGTTGCCCAGGGGTCGCCAGTGGGGCATGACTGCTTCTGCGAGGGCCTCAGCGCGCATGCGCCCAGCCCACCCCTCGACCGCGCCCAATCCCCACCCGGCCCGCCCCGCCCGCAGCACGCGGAGCCCCGGCAGCCGACGCCAGCCAGACCTGTGGACTTGCCTCCTCCGGCACTCCTGCCGCGCCAACAGCACACGGGAGCGGCGTCACACCGGGTTATTATTTTTTATTAAGATGAAAATACGAGTCCCATTATGAACTGTGTGTTCTCACAATAAATAACAATAACTTACGTTTGTTTGTTCGGCAAAGGCTCACACACTCTGTCCTCCGTGGAATAACTTAAAACATTTTCAAGGCCAGTCTGGTTTCTACTGTTTCCCAGCAATCATGCGCTTTGGGAATTTGAGTGTCTGTTCCTCTGAGTTATCCCCTTCCTCTTCCCCGCTAGAGCCCAGGCGAAGACGCCAGGGAGCGCGGAGCGGGGGCAGGGCGGGGGTCCACGTGGGCGAGCTCGGGGCCGGCCGAGGTGGGGATACAGGTGGGGCGTGGAGGGACAGAGCGGCGGCCACGCGGAGAGGAGAGGGCAGAGCTAACTCTGGTAAATCCCAAATTCTGGTTTTTAAAAAGTAAAGAGTCCTCGGAGCAGGGGTCTGCCGTCTGGTGAAAGCAGGTTGCATCCTGGCACCTTGGGCTGTCCAGACCGTTTCTCTCGGTCCTCTCTCATAAATAACAATAGAATAATCACGAAGGCGAGAGAGCTTTCGGAACTGGAATGGCCTGAGCATGGGTGTCTCATGCAGGGAGCATGCGAGGTCCGCGGGCTGGCAGGGAGGGGTCCCCCTCACGTCTCCACGGGACTCGGCACCATACTGTTGGGGGTGTCCGGGAGCTGCGAGGACAGGGAGGTCACGTCGCTGCCGGAGGAGTTGCCTAGGGAGCCGGACTCGGAGAAGGAGACCTGGGGCAGCGGAAACACCGGGAAGAGGCAGGTGAAGAGGCACCCGAGCTGGTGCTCCGGGGCCGCGTGCTCCGAGTCGGGGAATGTCCCTTGGGGACCGGTCGCCGGCTGAGAGCAAGCCCAGCGGAGGAGGAGGCCAGGTCCCCAGGCGCACGCAGGGCGGGATTAGGGCGGGGGGAGCGGGTTGGTTAATTCTGCGACCTCTCTTGTGCGCACTTTAATCCAGGGAGACCTGGTTTAGGGTGCGTAATGGGCCGAGGTGAGGTTTCAGAGCCCGCCACTGTTCCCCCTCCCCCACCGCCTAGGGCTGTCCCCAGCCCCTCAGCCCAAGGCTACCCCCTCCCCTCTCTGCCAGGCTAAGTGGCTAAATCCCCAACCCGCAGAGTACCGAGGTCGGGGCGGGTAGGGCAGGGCCTCACCAGCTGCTGGAAGGCGGGTTGGTCCAGGTCGCTCTGGAGGGCAAATTCGCTGAGCGCCTTCCACGGCGGCTGGTACGTCTGCACCTCCACTGCGCTGCCCTGCACAGCGTTCTCATGGCGGATGGGGCTGCCCGCCACCAGGGGCGTCCCGGTCAGTCCCTGAAGGCTCTGTGGGGCAAGCAGAAGGCCTTGGGTGCTCGAGTTAGGTCTGGCCTTTTGTGCCACCTTTGAGACTGGAGCTCCAGGCCCTGAGTGATTTAGGGTCTGCATTACTTTGTGGGGAGGTGCACACTCGACCGCATCGGAAGAGCCCTTTCTCCACTGGGGATCTGCGGGGGCTGCAAACTTGCCACGATAGGTCAGCCTCGGTGCTGGGAGCCAACCATCCGGTGAGGAAAGGCAAGGCCTGCACTCCCACCCTTCTGCAGCTGCGGACAGAGGGACACAACCCACCAGCCCGACTGGCGGGCGCTGCGCACAGCCATGCCGCCCCGGGCTCCGCCAGCGCCCGGGACCCGCAACGCGGGGCTGCACCTGGGGCAAGGAGAAACCCCGATCCCAGACAAAATAGGAAGCTCCAAATCCAAGGGAAGCCTAGCTCTGAAGGTACAGACATACACCATCTGGAGCGCCCAGTTCTCCCTGGATCTCCCAGGGCTCGCCCACAGAAGGGCACACAGATACCGCGGCGGAAGCGCAGGCCCCACCCAACTCGAGCCTTCGGCCCCGCGGCCGCTCACCGTCTTGTCGCTGTGCTGCTGCTGCTGCAGCTGCTTCATGAGAATGGATTTCTTCTTGTCCTTGCAGCGCTTGTTCTGGAACCAGACGCGGATGACCCGCGGGCTCAGGCCGGTCATCTCCACCAGCTGCTCCTTCATGAGAGCGTCGGGCCGCGGGTTGGCGGCGTAGCAGGTCCGCAGAGTGTGCAGCTGCTTCTCGTTCAGCACAGTCCGCACGCGGGTCGTCTTCTCCGTCTGCTTGTGCACGTGCGGGCGCAACGCGGGCTGCCGGCCCGACCCAGCATCTGCCAGGACAGGGTGGGGCCAGAGGTTAGCGAGGGGCCGCCACCCACCCGCCCGGAGCCCAACCTCAGGGCGGCCGAGACCCCGGGGCCCGATTTCGTTTCTGTTTTATTTTGCTTATTTCGTTTAATTGTTCCTCTTCCTCTCCATCTGTTCGCTTACGAGGAGAGAGCTGTGCATTTTCGTTCTTTCTCTCGCTCCCGGGCCGGACTGCCCCGCAGCGATCTCTCCCGAGCTCAAGCAGGGCGAGGGAGCTCGGCGACAGGCCGCTGCGGGGAGTGAGTGGCCGCTCAGGGATGTGCCTCTTCCAGTCACAGGACCCTCGGAACGAGCGAAGCCCTCCGGAAGAAGTCGGAGTTTCAGAGGAAGAGGAAAGAGGCTCGCCCAGGACTCTGGAGAGGGAAAGGGAACGACGTGGACCGGGAGCGAGGTGCTGCTCAGGGGACTGGGTGGGAGGTGCGCATATCCTGGGGGCCTACGAGGGCCCTTCCCTCCTTCAGAGCCCATTTGGACAGGGCACATGTGTAGAAGGGTACATGTGTAGAAGACTCATCCAGGGTTATGGACGGGCCTCCAGGGCCTGCAACAGTTCCTTCCTGCCCGCCCTTGGGCTTCCGCCCCGGTCTCCTTCCTCAAGGCTCCAGGTTCCCCAGCCCAGTGGCCTCCCACCCACCACGCTGGTGAGCAGCCGCTGGCACTCTCCTCGCTTGGCCCCAGGTTCTCTCCATCCCGGGGAAACAGTGACTGATTCCAGAGCCTGCAGCCTGAAGCCCGAAACAAACAAAGGGGAGCCTCTCCGAGATCCCAGATGGGGGTGCACTGAATACCCGCTTCCTCCCATTTCACATCTCCATTCTACATTCCCGACCTACACACCTTGGATCTATACTGCACCATTTAGGTTTATGTTCCCTTCTACGCATTTCTAGATCTGGACAAATATTTATAAATAAGCCCATCCAGCCCAATTTCCTCTTTCTATAGGGAGGAAGTGGAGATCCAGAGAGGGGAGGAGTGGGGCAAGGCCACACAGCACCGAGAGGCCCAGCCTGGTCTGCGGATCTGTGCTGCAGGCCTATGGCTACCTGGGGGAAACTGCCCTGCTTGGGGCGGAGGCACCGCTGTTTCTGTTCAGCCCTACCTGCCCATTATACACTCAGACCCCATCTCTGGGCAGCTACTGATTAGGACCCACAATATTCCAGTGAGAGTCCAATATGCATTGATAACACTCCCCCTTCCCCAGAAGAACCTGGCTAAATTGTTCGTCAAACTGGGCCTCAAAACAAGACGGCAAAAACCCCTCTTTGTTGGGTTCTTGGCTCCTGGCTGACCAAGCCCCTGCCCAGCTCCCAGTTGGGAGCTGCGTTACTTACACAAATACCCCTGAGCAAACCTTCCCCTCTGACAATAACACATATTCCTCCAAGAAATTCCTAATCCAAGCCCCAAGGCGGACACCACTTAATATTCCCTGTTGTCATCCACTATTCTGCTCCTAGCACTGTGCCCTGCATGTTCCTGGTCATGGAGAACACGATTCTGCACAATTCCCCGTGCTCACTCATATGCACGCGCAGTTTCTCCCGGGCACACGAGAACACACACAACCTTGTTCCCAGCACACAGTTCCGCACTAATACAGAAAAACACTAACCCGGCAGACCCAACCACACACAACTGACAACTTCTCGTTAGGGACACAAGCACGCAAGCACACCCCGCTCACCCCGGCGCAGGCCCCGCGCTTACCTGGCAGATGCAGGCCGCGGGAGCCGGGGAGCGGGCCGGGGCTGCGCGGGCTGCCTGCAGCGGCGCGCTCGAGCAGGAGGCCGTGGTCTGCGCGGCAGAGCAGCTCGTGCTCCCGCAGCGAGAACTCGTCCCCAGGCAGCAGCTGACGGCTGCACACGGAGCAGCGGAAGCACTCGATGTGATACACGCTGTCCCGCGCCCTCATCACCAGGTCGCTGCTGCTGAAGCCCACCTGGCACTTGGCGCACTTGATGCCGAACAGCCTGCGGGCCCAAGGCGCAGCGGTGTCAGCGCTGGGCCTGCGGCCGCCCTCATCTCCCCGGCTGCTACCGGCCCCGGCGCGCGCCCAGGACAGTTTGTGGCCCACCAGGGGACTGCGGTGACCCGCCTGCGGGCATTCCCGGGCCCGGGGGCGCGCTGCGGCACCTATGCGGGATGAGGATGGCCTTCTCACCGGGCAGGGCCGGGGCGCGCGGGCAGGCCGCCATCCCCAGCCCCGGCGCGCGGTGGCCCAGCCCGCGTTCCCGCCGGCCTCACCTCACATAGTCCCGCTTGCAGTAGGTCTTCCCGTCTCTCACGAAGCACGTGCACGTCTCGTCCAGGTACTGGCTGCACTCGGCGCACTTGAGGCAGGCGGCGTGCCACTCGAGGTCGGGCGACACCCGCAGGATAAACTGGTCGTGGATCTGACTCCCGCAGCCCACGCACATGGCCGTCCCGGGCTTCTCTGCCGGGGAAGGGCGCGGGGCCGCGTCAGGCCTGACTGCCCGGATCCCGGCCGGCCTCGGCCACTCCAGCCCCAACCCAACCCGCTCGCTCTCTCGCTTTCTTTCAAGACTTGCGACCATAAGGAAAAGTGATGAGCTCTCTAAAGGTCCAGAGCATTGGAAACGAAAAACCAGTATCTTCTGGATTGCTTAAGGTTTCTTCTGTCCCCTACCCCCAAATATTTCGCTAGTACATTCATTAATCACAGTCGTTTTGTCGACGTGTCTTGAAACTAAACGCTAACACGAAACTAAGAAGAGAGTAAATACACAGGCACTGCGGTAGCCTGGACATCAACACCTAACGGTGCTGTCCCGGCATTTCCGCTCACACACTCCCACTCACAGCGGCTGCCTCCTATCCCAACACAGACACATCGTCTTTCGGCAGTCCCGGCTCATCCTCCCAGACATTTCTTAGTTTAAATATCCCAGAGCAAGCGAGAGAAAGCTTCCTAGCTTTGAAACACCGAAAGGCAAACAACCAACCACCAAAAAAAAAAAAAAAAAAAAAAAAAAAAAAAGGCCCACATCCCTAAATCAAACCTAATTGCCTTTGCGCAAAACAGAAGCAGATTTCGCAGCCCAAAGTCATCCCAGCCGGCTTGAGAAACAGTGTTTACTTATAAAATAAAACAACAGGATTTCCAAAGATAAGCAGTCCTGCAGGAGATATGCATTCGTTTTTCCTCTCTTAAACTATCCTGACAAACAGAAGCCACTTGTAGAATCCACTAAACATTTTTTTGCATTAGAAATTTTGCATATTAAGCACACACACACACCCCACCCCACACACACACAGAAAGACTTACTCTTGGAATGATCACCCATAGCACCCAGAAAAGGATAATGAAAAATAATATCCACCATGCAGAAAAAGAGATGTGCGCAAAGTGTGCGGCCAGGGGCAGAAGAACGAGGGTCGCGCGTTCGGCCTCGGCTCTTTGCTAACTAACTCCTACTGCCCCGCGGAGTTGAGGGAGCGATTCCGCACCGGCCCGCACGCAGCATGACGTCAACACGCACTCGCCCCGGGCCGGAGCTGGGGGCGGGACCTGTGGCGTCACGAAGCTTCCCCAGAACTGCCGGGGATGCGGGGGAGGTGATGGGGACCGGGGGCTGATGGGCGGGGTGGGTTGGGTGGGAGGCTGGGGGTGAAGGGAGATTGGCTGGGAGGAAGTGGGCCAACCCTGATTGGCCCGGAATGAACAATGGAGTGCAGCCCCCCCACCTCCGAAACCTACAAGGATCCTCTCTCCCGCCCCGGGTCTGGCAATCTGGACTGGACCTTGCGTCACCGCCTAGCTGTCTCCGCGGCCGTTACAACTCTGAGCTTCCTCTTGGACTTTCGGGGCGGTTTTCCCAGGCGCGCTGGAGCTGAGTGATGGATACCTGAGGGTGGAGGTGGCTCTCCTTTAAGAGCTCCTTCTTATATAAATTTAAAAAAAAAAAATTAAACCCACTCTCAAGACGAGAGAGCCGAAGACAAGAGGGTCTAATTGGACGTGACCGTCATCGTCCAGCTGGTCACCTTTCTCCTCTCATGTGCCTTTGTTCTTTGGGTCCAAGCTAGAGAGAGAGGGTAGAAAATGACCACCTGGCTTCTGATAAACTCTATTTAAACTTTCCTGTCCGCACAACCTGTAGAAAACTTCCGATTGGGGCATTAAGTGGGTTGAGCCAGAACCCAGATCCAAATGCGCTCACCCGGGACTGGGACGGGTACTGACTCCATCCTTGCTGCTGCTGCCGCTGCTGCTGCCCCTCCTCTCTCTCCTCCACCACCACCTCCTCCTCCTCCACCTCCTTTTTTTGTTGTTGTTTTGTTTTGCTTTTAATTTGTTGTTGTTTTAAATGTAACATGGACTCCCCCGCCCCCTCATTTTTCCCCCACCCAAATGGCATAGCTCCTTCTAGGAACACTGCTGGGGTCGATTGCGCGTCCCATTTCCAAAATAAAAGATTTTTCTAAACTCTTGTGCTTCATTTCACAAACCCACTGCAATGCAAATAATCAGAAACGAACGTGAGACGCTGGGTAATTTACAGTGCTATCTGCGAGGCGGCGGCTCGTTGGTCCTGAGAAAATCTGAGAGTTCTGAGCAGAGTCCAGGCATTCTTTCTTTCAAAGAAATCGCTGTGGGTTTTGTTTGAAAGGGTTCAAAGACCGGCCCATTAATTACAAATAACATTTATCCAACCATGGTGTCTGTTCTTGTTTTCCCAGTAAAAGGAGTACCAAGAACTTGGTGTGCGCCTGGGTGGGGCGCAAGGTGAAACGCCTGCGGATAAAGTGTCTCCACCGCCATTCCAGACCCTGGCCCAGACCTTCGGGCTTGTGGGCCTGAGGGCGCAGTCGCTACAGCCGTTCTACTAAGAGCGTGACGTTGGTTGGCCTCGAAACGGGTGTAGCCAAGATCGCAGGCCCAGGCTTTGCAGAGGGCCAGGGCGAGGCCCCGAGTGCACGCTAACATTATTTAACCATGGTCCACGGTGAACGTTCCTCACCGGCCCCGCGCTGGGCCGAGCGCTTTAAGTCCCGTACAGTAGTGTCAGGCTTTTGACCTCCGCCTCTACCTTTAGAAGGTCTAGTCTTCTCACCGGTCCGGCTCTTTTTTTTTTTTTTTTTCTTGTTGCGACAGAGTCTCGCTCTGTCGCCCAGACTGGAGTGTAACGGTGCGATTTCAGCTCACTGCAACCTCCGCCTCCCGGGTTCAAGCGATTCTCCTTCCTCAGCCTCCTGAATAGCTGAGATTACAGGCGAGCGCCACCGCGCCCGGCTAATTTTTGTATTTTTAGGAGAAACCGGGTTTCACCATGTTGGTCAGACTGGTCTCGAACTCCTGACCTCGTGATCCGCCCGCCTCGGCTTCCCAAAGTGCTGGGATTTACAGGCGTGAGCCACCGCGCCCGGCCACCGGTCCGGCTCTTGTTACAGCTTACCACCCCTCAGCCAATAGGCCATTTCTTGCTTCTTCAGTCAACAGTCCCCCAAAGAGCACTCACCCTGAGTGTGTGCGGGCAGGTCAGGGGTTGGGGGATGCTGCGTTTGAAGGAATGTGTTTATGTAAATGGGGGACAAGAGTGAGGGGGTGGGTATCTATGCCTGAGGCTGTGCCAGGCTACCTGTGTGACCTCGGGCATCTTATTTTAATTCTCCTTCCCTCAGTTTCCTCATCTGTAAAATGGAGGTATAATAATTGTAGCTATCTCTATTTTGTAAGAATTAAATAAACTGTCCTCTGGAAAGGGCTTAGAGCAACACCTAGCACAGAGTAAGTACTCTATATGTGTTAATTATGACAATTATGATTGTGGCTATATCCTTATGTCGGGAGCCTCTGCCCATCCTGCCTGCATGTGTCTGGGTGGGGAGGGGAGTTCTAAGTATGTCTCAGGGTGTGTCATCTGATGATTTCTTTGTGTATTTCGATGTGTGCTTGCTCGGTGTGTGTCTGCTGTGTAGATGGGGTTTGGAGATGTGTAGTCTGTGCATAGACTTTGTGTACAGGTTATATCTGTGAATGTGGGTGCGCAGTCAGAACTGGGAGGGGACTCTTGGTGTTTGTGTGTCTGCATGTAGAGCGAGGAGGTGCATCTGGCCCAGTGGCCCTACCCTCAGGTGACCCTGGAGTAGGCCTGGCTCCCAGTACCTACTAGGTCTTGTTCGCCAGGCCAGGAGCAAACAAATCTATAATTCAGGGGTTCAGACAGCTGGCGGGGAGGGGGCAGCTCCAGGCAGGAATCATAGGCCCAGCTTTTAACCCTCTACTGCCCAGAGAAACTCTTCCTTCCCGTTCAGAAAACCCTGTCCTTTGAGACTCCACTAGGGAGGTGGTGTTTGGAGAGGGTTGCCTCTTCTGGGATGCTGGGAAGCCGGGTCAAAACAAATATTTGTTCAGGGCCACCATGTGCAAAGCCCTTGTTGTTAGCCTGTTAGGTCTTAAAAGTAATGTCATGTTGTGGGTAGTACTGGGCCCCTCCAATCCTCGAGGAAACTGAGGCTCAGAGAGGGGAAGTTACTGCCTCAGGTCACAGATTAAATCAGATCTGGCATTGAACCCAGGCTGTCTGGCTCCATCTTGCTTGCTTTTTTCACTGTGCCATTGAACAGCCACATGAGTGTAGCTCCACCATTCACCCATTTCACATCTCTGGAGCTGTAAAACCAGAGATCCATTTCAAAATCACTCCATGTGTGACTTCTGGTCACAGCCACCCCTGGGAGACCAGCACTGAGATGAGAGAAGAAAATACCTGCACCTGCTGGGCACGGCCATAGGCAACATGGATGTGGCTCTGCCCTGGTTCTCTGCCTCCTGGCTGCTCCCTTCTCAGGTATGGAGGGGCCACATGCTCTCCACATCCCAGGCTGGCACGCAGGAGACCTGGGTGCCTTGTATCCTGGGTCTTAGAGCACTTTCTCCTTATCAGGAATAGCAGCTTGAGCTCCATAGCTATGCTTGATCCCATAAAACTAGCCTGTACTGGGGAGAGTTCAGAAGCACAGAGAAGTCTCCCTGATTTTTTCTCCCCAAAACCTCTACCACATCACTCACAAAGGCACAGCCCCATGCACAATGTCCAGCCAACACAGAGGAGGCTGTTGCTAGTGTGGGAGCATCAGTCCTCACTGTCAGTCCTCACTCAGAAAGGAAAATGAGGCCTGGTGACCTGTTACCCAGCATGTGATGGAGATGGAGCCAGAAGCCAGGTCCCCTGACCCAGGCCAGACCTCTTCCTGCTGGAGTCCCTGTGGATGAACTTCTGCTGTCCAGGGCTGAGACCTTGCTGCCCAGCTTAAGTCACTGGTCCAGGCTTCTCCTCTTGCTCCAGTCTCCATCCCCCTCCATTCTCCTTCTGCCCCACTCCCAAAGACTTTTACTTTTCTCCAAAGGTAGTTGGAGACGTTGAATACAGCAGGCAAGAGACAGCCTCAGCATCCACATCTTCACCCACCACAGGTGTCTGAGAACTTGCTTTTGGGATGGGGATGGAGCACCATGTTTCAAAGAAGCAACTAAGGCCTGGGGGCAGGGAGGAAACTTGGCAAGTCAAGGTCAGGCTTCAGGCTTTTTGACATCCAAGACCTATGCTTTCTCCCCAGCCTTGCCTGCCTCCCCAGCCCCAGATTCCCTTTGAGCAAACAGGTACCCATAGGCACTGCTGGGCCCCTCTCCCTCCTTCCTGAGCCCCCTTCTCTCTTCCCGAAGTTACTGAGCACGTGTTGTAGCTGGGGCTCTGGGCTAAGCAGCAGTATGAGGTCTCATTAAAGTGCCCACCAATCTCCTGAGCAGGAATGGCCACGTAATTTGCAGATCCCATTGCAAAATAAAAATTCACAACCCTTTGTTTAAAAAATTATTAAGAATTTCAATGGCTGGGGTGGTGGCTCACGCCTGTAATCCCAGCACTTTGGGAGGCCGAGGCAGGTGGATCACTTGAGGTGAGGAGTTTGAGACCAGCTTGGCCAACATGGCGAAACCCTGTCTCCACTAAAAATACAAAATTTAGCCAGGTATAGTGGCACATGCCTGTAGTGCCAGCTACTCGGGAAGCTAAGGCATGAATCACTTGAACCCGGGAGGCAGAAGTTGCAGTGACCCAAGATAGCGCCACTGAACTCCAGCCTCGGACAGAGACAGACTCTGTCTCAAAAAAATAAAAATAAAAATTCAAGACAGCAATGGCAGAGCATCAAACCAAGTGTGTCCTGCCCCTCCATATACAGGGTTTCTGTGAAGTTGGCCCTGCCTCTGAGGCAGGTCCTAATATCATCTTTCAGCTGCTGAGAAATAAATAAACCAATAACCTTCAAAGTTAACACAACTAGGAAAGAGATGGGACTGTGACTGAGACTGAATCCCACACCCTACAGCCATCCATGAGACTCAAACCCACACCCCACAGCCATCCATGAGACTCAATCCCACACCCCACAGCTGTCCATGAGACTGGTTATGAACCTGTGGCACTTGAGTGTGTCCAGATGGGAATAGTTTTGTTTGTCACCTGGGTTATCATGGACAT